TCCCCAATTAAGATGGCTATCAAGGCATCCTTTTATTTTGAAAGTTGATAAATAAAGAGAAAGAATTAAGTATTTATCCACTTTTTTAAATAGAAACTGTATTTTGGGGGCCAGCCCCATGGCCGAGTGGTTAAGTTCGTGTGCTTCACTTTGGTGGCCCAGGGTTTCGCTGGTTTGGATCCTGGGTGTGGACCTAGCACCACTCATCAAGCCATGCTCAGGTGGCGTCCCACATAGCAGAGCCAGAAGGATTTACAACTAGAATATACAACCACGTACTGGGGGGCTTTGGGGAGAAGAAGAAAAAAGAAAAAGATTGGCAACAGATGTTAGCTCAGGTGCCAATCTTTTAAAAAAAAAAACAACTGTATTTTGGGGTAACTAAATAGCGCCTGTTGTTGAAGGAAATCTCTAATTTACAAAAGAGTTGATAGCTAGTAAATGTAGAAGGTAACACACAATTATAAAATTATTATTTTGCCACCCCTAAGGAAAGTATTGATTCGGGAAAAGATAAAACCACTAAACCATTAGGTTACTCGTTGATAGATAAGGTAAACATTCATCCAATTTTGCTGGAGATAGTCTTGGTTTTTGATGGTTGTCCAAATGTAATTATTAATAGTGCAGATAATGTTCTGATTACAATGGAAGAATTGCACTTCATCACCTCAACCCAGACTCAATCGGAGCATCATTAAGGGTGGGACAATCAGATATTCATGTGACTCCTGGTGTGATATAATTGAAATACACAGCACTACTTATGAAGTTCTCTTGATAAAAATGTTCAACTTAAATCTGACCAAGTCTTCAGATCTAACGTCCAGCTTACAGGAAATACAAAGGTTAGAGGAAGCAATCAGATCCAGAAGGTGGAACTGGTCTGGTGTCTTCAGCAGGTCACGTCATGATAAAAGGGACTGTTGTAGGTTAAGCGACATAACAACCAGATGCGTTGCACAGTTCTGAATTGGATCCTGATTTGGCCAAACCAGCTGAAAAGGACATCTTAGAAACAGTTGGGGAAATTTGAATATGGAATTGGTATTACTGTTAATTTTGTTAGGTGTGAGAATGTAATCTTTGATATGTACAAAACCATACTTGTTTTTTTAAGAGATACATACTGAGGTATTTAGAGATGGGATGTTATGACGTTTACAATTTACTTTAAAGTGCTTCAGCATTAAAAACAATAAAGTGAGTTGACAGGAAAAGAAACAAGATAAAATACGTAAAACATATACACTTAATGCTCAAGTTGCAATATGTAGCAACAAGTGGTTGGAATGTTACAAAGACATCGGTGCTACAGGAGAAGAACATCATAGGGAAATTACCTAGATGGGGGCACAGGAGGTCAGATTTTTTCTCTGAAGAATGCTTCCTGGAGGAAGCCATGTGTAAGTCGAGACCTGAAAGACAGTGTGGTAGAGAAGGTGGCTCCCAGTGATCTTGATGATTAGCAAATTAAGAAGTATCATGATTTTGACCTTTTAGGTAAAGCACTAGCTAGGAAAATGCCCCAAATCAACTCAGTTAACAAATATTATTTACTGAGGCTTGTTAGTTGCTGCCTAGGCCATGGTAAATACTTACAAAATCTCACAGCAACTCTTTATTTTACAAATAAAGAAGCTGAAGTTATGAGAAGTCAAGTGTCTTGCCCAGGATTACACAGCCAGTAGTTGACAGAGCCAGGACTAGAATCCTGATCCCACTTACTCCAAAGTCTGTTAGCAACTGCTATCCATACTGCCTGTGAGATAGCCAGCAGGTGTATCTGGCCAGGTGCTCTCTGTTCCTGAGATCTCTTTAAATGTTTCGAAGATCAGTATATCAGGTAAGGAAGGATATAGCTGCACAGTACAGTAGACAGCGCTCGCCTTACGGGTGAAGGAACACTTGACTAGGAGCTGGAGATTCAGTGAGGAAAATAGTCTTTGTAAAGTATTCACAGTCTAGAGGAAAGAGGAAGAAAGATGTATTAGCATATGCTATCTTTCTGATTCGGGAGAGAGTCGGGATTTAGCAGTCCCCAACTGCCTGTGCTGTGAGATACATCTGTGCCTGAATCCTGCCTTTGCCTCTTATCAGCTGTGTGAATGTTACCTTGCACCAGTCATGCAATCTCTCCAAGCATCAGTTTCCCCATATGTAAAATGGGGACAATGTGTCTGCCTTGCAGGGCTGTTGAGGGGATTAAAAATAGTGTATGCAAAGTACCTACCGGTGCAAAGTACCGGTTTAAGATAGGTGTTCAAAATAGCAGTTATTAATAAGAAAAGCTTGATTCTGCATTGGAACCACTTCTCAAGAGTCACTTCTGAAGAGTCACTTCACAGCCAGAACTTAGAGCCCTGATGATATTAATTAGTCTTAAGCCAACATTGTCTCTTCACCTCACTTTGATATCCTAAGTTTTAGGATCTATAATTCAACTGCTGCCACTTGGGCAAGGATGGTATCTGTTTTTCTGTTCTGTACAGCTATGCGCATTTTCAGTATCCTAAGAGTGATCAAGCTTTGACTACAGGAGAGTCCATTCAATCTCTTAAAAGATACATTGAGTCTCTCTAATTCTTTTTTCATATTGAGTCAGTAAAACAGTTCACTGTAGACACAGTTCAGATCAGATATTTGCAATATGTTTTGTATAACTATTGAGTGCAAAACTCCTAAATTTCAAGGACATGTTGATGTGAGTAAACTATAGTAATGAAACAATGAAATGATTATATATATATAATCATATACGTATGATAAATATACAGTCATGCACCATATAACGATGTTTTGGTCAACAATGGACCACACATATGATAGTGGTCCCATAAGATTAGCACCATATAGCCTAGGTGTGGAGTAGGCTATACCATTGAGGTTTGTGTAAGCACACTCTATGATGTTTGCACAGCAATGAAATTGCCTAAGGACACATTTCTCAGAACATACCCCCATAGTTATACATATGTATATACACCTGCTCTATATGTTTAAAAATAAGATAATACAATAAGATATGAATATCATAAATATATAGAAATATAAATAACATAACTATCAAATAAAACTTTCATTACATCTTCAATGAGTTTCTTCCATTCATTCAAATTGAGTTTGTTTTCATCTTTTATATATGCCAGTGACTCGCTTTCTATAAAGTACCCATTTTGAGTGTTTTTTTCAGTAGTGGGAAGTAGTTTGTCATGAGACATGTACGGCAGTATTATTTTTGGGATAGTGTGCCAAGACTTGGGGACGCATGTGGATGTTGAAAAAGGGATCTAACCTCCCACTGTTAGTCAGACTCCAGTTTGTTCGATTATATTTATATATTTATATTTAGTTATATTTAGTTATTTTTAGTTTAGATGGTTATATTTAGTAAAATTTTAACCATCCTTCCCTTCTCCAATTGCTCATGCTCAGAACTGTGTTCATCCCTTATCACATTTTGTCATAATTCATTGATTTTGAATATTTAACTGGGATTCAGTATAGCATGGTGTTTACCGAAACATAATTCACATACAATAAAATTCACCCTTTAAAGTGTACAATTCAATGGGTTTTAGTATATTCGCTAAATTGGGCAATCATTACCACTATCTAATTCCAAAACATTTTCATCATCCAAAAAGAAATCTCATACCCAGTATAGTCATCCCCTCACCTCCTGGAAACCACTAATCTGCTTTCTGCCTCTATGGATTTGCCTATTCTGGACATTTCATATAAATGGAACCATATAATATGTAGCCTTTCACGTCTGGCTTCTTTCACTTAGCATAATGTTTTCAAGGTTCATCCATGTTGTAGCATGTATCAGCACTTCATTCCTTTTTATGGCTGAATAATATTCCTTTGTATAGATATATCACATTTTTTATCCATTCATCACTTGGTTGACATTGGGGTTGATTCCACTTTTTGGCTATCATGAATAATGCTATGAACATTTGTGTACAAGTTTGTGTGTGGATGTGTTTTCAATTTTCTTGGATCACGGTATTTGAGAACTGGGCTTTGCTGCCACACCACCTTGGGTTTAAGGCCAGGCTCTGCTATTTACTAGCTGTGTGAACTTGGACGAGTTACTTAACTTCTCTGTGCCTCAGTTTCATCCATAAACTGTGGCTATTCATAGTACCATCTCTTAGTGTTTACAAGCCTAAGAGATAATACATGGAAAGTACTTAGGACAGTGCCTGGTATATATGGTTAGGTCTGAATAAAATTTATCTATTATTTTAATATTTTGAGCTCCTTAAGATAGAGTTCATCTTCATTGTGCCTTTGAAACCTCAGAGCCTAATATTTTTTTCTTTAATAACAAGAGAAATAAATATTCAGAATTCCTTCTGGATATCACGGTGTGCTAATTTCAGACAACGCATTTTGAAATTGAAGGACAGATGCTTTAAACTGTAAATTGCAGAAAAGGGTTGCCTTCCCAACTTATCTTAATATAGTAACTTAAAACACTCAGCCTGCAACTAACCATTTAATACAAGTTAGGAGGTACTCTTGTAGTCAGTAACATATTATTCAATAACAAGGCTATAATCGGGCGGCGGCTTAAGACTCCTGATTCTGAAAAGCTGGGAAATAGCTCATTTCCACAACAACTCTGTGATTGGTTTAGGCGCGACCCAGTTCGATTTTTGATTGGTTCTCGCAATGGAAATGGTTTCGGCCTGAGCCAATATGGCCAGTATGTGGCAATATGGCTCCACAATTGGCTTTCCTGGAAGTCGGCAGACACGTGGCTACCGCAGGCCGGGCAGTACGTGGGAGGACCTAGTTTCGCTTACCGCGAGAGGGCGCCGGCCGTTCCTCGTGGCTAAAGTCTCATTTCCCATAAAGCCTCCGAGCGACCAATCAACTGGCTGTCTCCATACCGCTTTCAAAGTCGGCGGGCCCTTTCACCAATAGTGAGGCAGATACCCTCAGGTCAAGGATTGATGGAAAGCTTTACCAATCATCTCATAGGTCTCCGCTATCTCCGCCTCTCTCGCACGAGATTGACGATTCGTCCGACCAATAGGGGACGCCGGGTCGGCGGGTGGATAAACGCGGCCCTCTGTAATGGCGGAGCGTGGTGGGGACGGGGGGGACGGTGAGCGATTCAATCCGGGGGAGCTAAGGTAAGGGGCGCTGCCTTTCCTCACATCGCGCCACGCTGGGGTTCTAAAGGCTAGGCCTGCCGCGCGGAGGTCCGGCGTGGAGGGCGGGCAGAGGAGCCGCGGCGGCTCGGGGCCGGGACCGCATGGGGTTAGAGAAGGGGGAAGGGGAAGGTGGCTTGAATGAGAGAGCCGGGCCGGGGCTGGGCCGCGGCCTCTTGCGCCTTCTCTGGGCGCTTCCTGCGGTTTTCGCGGGGACCCGGCGCCTCTCGCGGCCCGTGGCCCAAGGCCCGGGCCGGGCCCGGCGTTCCCGCCTCGGGGCCCCGCCTCAGCCGCGTGCCGCCTCCGTCTCGGCCGACCTCAGCCTTCCTCCCGGCTGCGAGCCGGTCGCCGCGGGCCCAGTTTCCCTCCTCGGCGCCCCTCCTCTCCGCAGTGACTCCCCGGACCCCCACCCCTGCTGGCTCAGCCTTCTCCGCTCCCTCCGCGGCCTTTGGGGGTCCCCACGTTTGCCCCGTCCCTCCTTCCCCGCATCTCTTGCCTTTTTAAAATTTTTTTTAAAAAAACTTCGTGTGGCTCTTCCTCCTCTCGTCCCTTTCTTCCTTATCCGGTATTTGTGAATAACAGCAGCAGCCGCCGCCGTCTATTACACGCTTCTCGGTGCCAGTAGGCCCTTTACTTAGAGTTGTCTCATTGCATCCTCACAACCACCCTTGGGAGCGGTTGCTGGTCTCCTTTTGCAGGCCACAGACCAGAGCCATCTTCAGTTAAGTTATTTGCTCATCTTACAGGTGAGGAAACTGAGCCTCGTAGAGGTTGACGATGTAGAACAAGGTCGCATAGGTGAATTGTGGCTCCAGGAAGTGGCTTGAACCCAGGCCTTCAGGCTCCAGAGCCTGCGATCGCGATCGCTGTTCTATTAGTCTACTCAGCCATTGCCCTAAAGAGGGCAGTGACCTTCCTTTCCCTGGTTTCTCAATGCCTCTGGAATTTGTAGTTAAGATTTGATAAGTGAAAGTGTCTTGGAAAAATCTTGAGCCATTGGTTTTTGAGGAAAAACAGGTACTCAGCTTTATGTATAGTGGATACCTTTTTTTTTTTCCCCTGCATAGGAAAAATCTCATTTCAGATGTTTCAGCTCCCCTTCTGAATCGTGCCATTGTCAGCAGTTGAAAATGAAAAAGAGCAGTGTAGGTTATGAGCACTCTAGTGTTGTCTGGAGCTCAAGGTGAAATTGTTTAAGGAAATGGGTATTCTTTTTCAAGGTTTTAGGGAAAACATATCTTTTCGGTTCTGAATTATCACACACAAAATCCTTACTTTGGCAGGAATGAAATCTTGGCTTATTTCAGAGATGAATCTCAGATCCTTTAAACCCCGTATGTACACCTCAGTAGCGAGTGATCTAAGTGCGTTGTCAGGGTCGTTCAATATTAGTGGTGGAAGGTTTATTCCTGATTCTGATCTCAAGGGGTTACCTAGCTAGTCTCATATGGATTATCTGGGAACATTACTTTGAATTTTAGAGAGTATCTTTTTTCATCTTTACAATGAGTAGCCTTTTAGACTTTGTTAATAGTAGTCTGGACTTTGTTGCAAAACTGATTTGAATAGGGCTTTGAATTAGGTGTTGTGTTGCAAATATTTTTACCTTGGCCTCTTAGGTTGGAAGTTGCTTCCAGAGCGTATTGTACCCACCTGTGTTTTAGCATTTCTCATGGCTTAAGAGAAATTGGGTGTTCATGTGGCCTCTTTGATGGTAGAAATTTGGGCTTAGTTTTTCTCTTTATATCCTGACCGTATTTCATGGTGTGTTTAGCATAGAGCCTGGCAAATAAGGTGTTCAGTGGATATATGGTAAGTAAATGAATATAGGAGATTTAGAGGTGGGTTGCTTATTGGATCCACGTTTATTGAGTGTGTGCTATGTGACAGTTACTGACCTAGGTGCTGGCAGGAGAGCCTGGAACCAGATCAAAAACCTTTGTTCTTGAAGAGCTTCCGTGCCAATTAACATTGATCTGAATTCCAAACTAAACTAACCACATCAAATGAGGAAATCAGCTTGCAAATGTGAAAAGACTTACGCAAGGTCACCAAGTAATTGGCAGGGTCTGGATTAAAACCTAGGTGTCCTCACTTACAGTCTACTACGTAGTTTGCCTCCCATATATCAGTAGTGTCTTTCCATTATTGCCTGTCCTATTCAAGTATTTGCAGTCTTGTCTATACCATTGGGGAGATTGTGTATCTGGATAGAGTACTTCTAGAGAAATATATTTGCTCTTGTAAAAAAATTTTTTTGTGTTTCTGTTCATGCAAGTAGGCTTCTGTTTTCTGAAAATGTTGAAAGTGGTAGGAATGCAAATAACCTACAGTAGACAGAATTTATTCAGAGATCCCAATGCCATCCATCCCTTTATGTTTGAGGGCCGTTAAGATAACTTTTAGAGTCATATTTGTATAGATCCTTTACCCAGGGCCTTTGTTTACCTATTAATACTTTATGAATTAAGATGACAAGGTACTTATAATCTACATTTCCTCAACTATAAAATAGGAATAAGAATACGCTGGTGTTACCACAGCCTAGCTGCCTTAAACAAGTTATTTTTCTGTGCCATAGTTTCCTCTTTAAAAATGAGGAATCAGTTAAAAATGTGTCATCGTTTCCTCTTACCTTACTGGGTTGTTGTGAGGATTAAAAGAGTTAGTACAAGTAATATCCATATAACTGTGCCTCGTATATAGGAATTACCCAGTATTCACCTTCATTGTTAAAACAATAATATTTGAACGCCTACATCCTGAGCCCTGGGATGCACCGCAAACTATATGCTAGTGGGTAGAGATAATACAAAAGTAAACAAATAAGTGAGAGATTTCTTCAAAGCATTTCTCACAATTGAAAACTCAAATTGGGTAATGAGCCAGAGAGGGGCTGGGGGAGGCTAGGGGTGGGGAAGGAGTTTGAGGTGACATTTGAGCTGAGGCTGAATAATGAGAAGGAGCTAGTTATATAAAGATCTGGGGAAAAGCAGGCCAAACAGAGAGAACAACAAGTGCAGAGGCTTCAAGATAATGAACTTGAAGTATTTGATGGCAAAGAAGCCTATAGTCTATAGAGAAGTCAACAAAAGCCAGGTTATATAGAACCTGATAATAATTATAATAATAATCATAGTTAACGCTATTACTAATATTAATACCATTTAACACTTACTAATACTATTACTATACTAACGTTATAGCAACAGTGCTAATAGCTAATACTTAAATAGAGCACTTATGTGCTAGGCACTGTTCTAAGTACTTTATTAGCTCATTTAATCCTCACTCAGGTTCTGGTAGGCAGTGTGTGTGAATGAAGCCGTGTATGTGAAGTGTTTGTGATGGAGCAGTGTATGTGAAGAGCTCAGCACATGAGATCCAACATCTGACATTAGAAAATGGCAACTTTAGGCTGTTGGTGGAGGAAATTACATGGATTTTATTACCATTTCAGGGGCAGACTTTTGAAAGCCATCTAGTCACATTGACTATGAAGTGCATTTTACAGGTAGAGCACTGTGCTAGGTTTTGTGGGGGGATGAAAGTAATGGTAGTTAAAGTAATTTACTATACCAGGTACTATCCTAAATGTTTCATGGGGATTATCTCATTGAGCAAAGATATGAGATAGGTTTTATTTCTACTCCCTCGCCCATTTGCTTCTGAATATATTCAGGCTCAGAAATTATGTAACTAGCCTGACAATAAAAGGCAGAGCCCTGATTTGACTTTTTCGTGATTCTAGAGGCTAAACGCTTAACTTCGAGCTATAACTAGGAAGTGTGAAATTCTAAAGAAAGAAGTACTGTAGATTTTTTGAAAAGGGAGAGGCAGACTCAGAGGAAATCTAAGATTAAGGTACATTGTTAACTCGAGGCTGAAACAGTATATCTTTCCTTGGTTAACTTTTTTTTTTTTTTGTCCTAACGGTTAAGACATGCCTTTCAGTAACAGTGGCTGTGTGTCTTTTGGGAGTGCATATAATTTGAAAAAGACTGATTAGTCTGATACTGTCCATACTCCTTTTTTGCAGTCACTGATTTTAACTCATACTTTATAACCTTGAGTGTAGGATAATTTACAAATTTGCTTAAATGGTCTTGGTATAGTAGTTCTGGAGTTGTTTACAATCCTAGTCTTCTCTTAGGGGGCAAATTGGTTCTTTATTAGGATTTTTTGTGTGTGTCAAAATTGAGCTGTAATGTGGAAAATATAGAGAAAATTTCAAAGGGTAGTCTTAAGCAGACAGTTGAAAAATATAGGAAAGTTGGAAGAGTCTGGTGAGGAGAGAGTGTAAGAATGATTATCTTCAAATATACATTAGGAATATAATTGTTAATCTTGAGCACAGAAATGTAAACATTGTGTAATGGAGAGATTTATAGTTGCTATTGGGAAGACTGTGATAGGTGCTCAGTAAATTGTTGCAAATTATAGTAAAAATAATTTTTATGCGTACCTACGTACCCTATTTATAAGGTAGCTTAGGTACAGTATCTCTTAGGTATTCATTGGTTTATTCAACAAATATTTATTGAGCCCCATTATGTACAGACCTAACTATGTGCTGAGGATATAAGGGTGAACAGGACAGACAGAATTCCTACTCTAAAGGGGCTTAGATAGACAGCATGGAGTGTTGAGCCGTTTGCCAGTGTTTGAATCCTGGCTTTACCTCTGAACCAGCTGTGTGGCCTTGGGCAAGTTACTGTGTGCCTTAATGTCCTCATGTGTAAAATGAGGTTGATAATAGCATCTATCTCCTAGGGTTGTTATGATGATTAAATGACTTCGAAAGAGCCTAGAGCACTGCCTGGCATGTAGTAAGCACTTTTAAGAGTTAGTGATTTTTTCAAAAAAGCACTTTTGAGAGGAGATAGATAATACTATCTTATGTGATGTTATTTATTATTTAAATGCTGTGGAGAGATTAAACTGGATGTTTAGCTAGAGATTAAAGGGTGGGATGGCGTGCAGTGTAGGGAAAGACTGTCCCTTTAGATAGAGAATCCTAATGGTCTCTTAAGCTGCCACCCCTCCCCTCATAAAAACTTTGTGTATTTGGAAGTAATTTAGAATTTACTAAAAAGTTTCAAAAATAAAGATAGTGTACTTAGTGTTAATATTTTACCTCTTCTGCTTTATTATTTGTATGTGTGCATACTCTTATTCTGAACCATTTGAGGGTAAGCTACATGTACCATAGCCCTTTACCCCTAAATACTTGTGTGTATTTTCTAACAACGGAGATATTCTCTTACTTAACTACAGCACAGTTATCAACTTCATAAATTTACAGTGATACGGTACTTGAACCTCTTGTCCATATTCCAGTGTTGTCCATTAATCCAGTATGTCCTGTCTAGCATTTCTTCCCTCTAGTCCAGGATCTGGTCCAGAGTTAGTATTGTGCTATCATGTCTCTTGAGCCTCCTTTAATCTAGAATATTTCCATAGCCTACCTTTGTCTTTTCGGTATAACATTGGTGTTTCTGAAGAATATGGCCCCTGTTCCCTCCTTTTTAACAGAACATTCCTCATTTTGTGTTTGTCTAATATTTCCTCATTATTAGGTTGAGGTTATACATTCTTGCCTGGAATAGGTGAATTGTGTCCCTCTCAGTCACATGAGGTACCTTTGTCCTTTTTAGATGATATTAATTTTGTTCTCCTGGTCAGGGTGTTGCCCAACTTCCATATTAGTTAGTGTTTTTTTTTTCATCCTCCCTTGCTTCTATAAGTAACGTGGGGAGACATTTAAAGACCGTCCAAATATCCCCCTCATCCAATTTCCTCCTAGATTTGGTATCCGTTGATCTTCTTACTGATGCACTTTTTACCATGATGGTTGCAAAATTATGACTTTCCAACTCCACTTACTCTTAAGGGCCTTTTAAATTCGGTGTAGTTAGAGATCAGTAGCTACATTCTGGTAATTTTGAGAAAGAAAAATTTATTCTTTGCTTTCCCACACAGGATGGCTCAACAGCAGGCCTTGAGGTTTCGAGGCCCTGCTCCCCCACCAAATGCAGTGATGCGAGGCCCACCACCTCTCATGCGACCTCCTCCGCCTTTTGGTATGATGCGAGGCCCTCCTCCACCACCTCGGCCCCCCTTTGGACGTCCTCCTTTCGATCCTAATATGCCGCCCATGCCGCCTCCTGGAGGGATTCCTCCACCTATGGGCCCTCCACACCTCCAGGTAAAGAATGTAGAGGTTGCAGTTTCTTTGTTGGCATTAGTACCAATGTTATATATGAGTTTTGCCTTAAAAGCTTGTGTTCTTAGTTTCAGTTTATAGGGAAATGGGGGCTAAAGAGAACATCCATATATTAATGTGTTGCTCCAAAAGCAGTAGTAACAGTAATTAGTATAGAAATTCAGAATTGGAATTTACATGGTTATAGGAAAATATACATATAAAACTATTATTGAATAAGATAGTTCTTACCTGCCTTTATCTCTGAGATTGTCTTTAGTAATCTGTCTTCTTTAAGAGAAATGAAGTTTGAAATCTTAATGTACAGAGTGGAGGATGTTTATTTGTAATGATACATGTTGCCAATAAGTATAAATATGTATGCATATATGTTCCTGAGCAATTCTCCTGAGCAGTTCTCCTTAGAAGTGATGCCTAGGATGGAATCTAGAAAGTGACAACAAACACTTTTTGTAAGCACCATATTTGCATTTTTTTCTCTCTCCTGAAAAAAAATGTTGGGTTATTTTACAATTTTAGAAATAGAATTATTGTAGGATTTCTTTAAATAAAAACGTTTCTGATATTTTAACCTGAGGCATACATATATCCCCCTCTAGTGTATGTAGACTAGGTTGTTGTCTGAAATGAAGTCACGAGAGTGTCAGCTCTCAAATGACTACACTTTTGAGGTTGTATTCTTTTTGTTTGAGTATGTATCTGTGTTTTCTTAGTTTATCAAGCCTGTACAGTTCTGTAACCAAATAAATATAGTGGTATCTCGTCTGCCTTCCATGAGCTTAAATATTCAAGAAGGAACTTAGTAAAAATAGAAAAAGCTGGCGTATTATTTAAGTGATGTTAGCTTTGCTTAGATAGGGTTATACTTATGGAAAAGACACAAGGTTTTAATACTTTGCTTAATTTTATTGCCTTCCTAGTAATGATAGCTCCTTTCCCCCTTAAACACATTGTTAAATGGTTTTATATTTTCTTTAAGATTAGAATAAAAAAATAGCTTTTTGACCCACTGACTCTGGTATAACTTGTTACATGTGAATTTATTCTAATATGTGCCTTTAATAGTTAAACCTACTTGCAGAAAATTGTAAATTGTAATGGACTGATGTAACCTGCTAATGGAAATATATCAAATGTTGTAATGTGATACTTTCTAGTGTTGTGATGCTTTTCTTGGTCCTGATGGATAATTGTGTGGTTTTACATTAAATCCAAGTGATTTCCAGTTAATGGTGCATGAGACATATTTAGGGTAGATATTTTATAGAACATGGGTGTGTGTGCTGATGCTTGAGAGACACTAAACTAAATCCAAAAAAAACCTGGAGTACGGGAAAGAAAACTTTTAGGAAAATGAAATACAGTTTCACATTGTTAGCGTAGTGTCAAATCTGTTATCCAGAATAAGGTGCTTTGGATAATTAAATTTTAATGTTACTTGTAGATTATAGAGGAAATCTTTTAAATCCTTGTTCAAAATCTGTTTTAAAAATGTCAGGCCACTTCTGCTTTAGTAAGATATAGCCGTTACAGTTCAATTGTTTGGTTTGGGATCTTGTGTTACATCAGCAATCACTGAAGAAAGACAGTGAAGCAATTGTCAGAGATAGGATTGAATCAATAGTGGCACCAGGACAATTTTTTTAAATTGTAATATATACCATTTAAATTCTTATTTTCCACTAAAAGTAAAATATTTTACTGTATCTTTGAAACTTACTGATGTTCACGTCTTTGATGAGGTACATTATTATTATTTGAAAAATAGAAAATGATGAATATTTTCCTAGCTAATACTTTTTTCCTTGTAGGAAAAGAAAAGGGTATCTCGTTTTTCCTTTTTAGTTATTGCTGTGTTACTTATAAAATGATTCTCTTGTGGTTGGTTCCTTTTGTAGGTGAGCTGTGGTGTGCTGGTATTAAACAATATGTAAAAATCAGTTTTTTTCTTTTTGAAAGTAATCCACTGCCTAGTTTATGAAGAATAAAGCAAAAGTCACCCATAGTGCTATAAGCCAGAGATGGCTACTCTTAGTATTTTGAGGTATTTCTTTCCAGAAGTTTAGTAATCATTTTTATTACAGAGAAGCTTTGCTTGTACAACCTAGATGAATGTGTTATAATCCATACTACAGAGAAGCTTTGCTTGCACAACCTAGATGAATGTGTTATTGTCCATTCAAATTGACTATAAAACTAGTGTCTCTTATAGTTCTTTACTTTTGGGTAGAATTTAGTAATAATTTGAAGGAAAAAAGATAAATACAAGTGACCATTATTGTTCTTGTGAATTAACAGAGACCACCTTTCATGCCTCCACCCATGGGAACCATGCCTCCTCCTCCGGGTATGATGTTTCCACCAGGAATGCCTCCTGTGACTGCTCCTGGTACTCCAGCACTGCCTCCTACTGAGGAGATATGGGTTGAAAATAAAACTCCAGATGGGAAGGTAAATCATAAAATATATTTAGGTTATCATCTCTTTGGTGACAGAAGAGTAAAACTTAAGAGTTTGGCAGATTGAGATCAGGGACTGTATCCTTGCTAATTAACAGTGAGCCTTGAGTAAGCACCAGGTGGGATAGAACTCCAGGAAAGGTTCACTGGATTGGGCCTCTGTGCAGAAATAAGGTTGCCTGGAGTGCTTACATACATTTACCTGTGATTCTGGAAGCTTGTATTTTAAATGTGTGTCGTGGGTCCCCAAAAATAACTCTCAGGTTGAGTGTTCGCTAGGAGGACTGACTATATGCAGGACTAAGCATATAGTTGTACTCACAGCTAAGATTAATTGCAGTGAAAAGATAGAGAGCAAAGCCAGGAAACAGAAAAAGGTGCATAGGGCAAAGTCTGGAGGAAATGAAGCACAAGTTTCCAAGAGTCCTTTCAGTGGAATCACTTAGAAAGGGAATTGTGACTACGTGTGAGGTGTTGTCTACCAAGGGAGCTTGTTGGACTGGTCATGTATCTGTTGCCATCTGCCTAGCACATACCCAAATTCCAGCAACCCAGAAGGAAGGCAGATATTTAGCATAAACTGCATTGTTTGTGTAAACAGTTTAGGCACAGCAAACCGTTCCTGCCCATTAGGGAATTGTGGTAACCCCCCTCCCGAGATCCAAGTACCCGGACTCCAGCCAAGGGCCAGCTTTGCAAGCAGAGCTTTCTAAGGATACCAGTCTCAGGCCTGCTACATTAATTTTCTGCACAAAATATAACCTTGGTTTTCCTTTTTTGGTGTGTGTTAAAAATATCGTATGCTTATTATAGAAAATTAGGGGAAGAGGAGAAGGGAGGGAAAAATTACCTAGTCCCATAATATATGAACAGCCAATGTTGATGGACTTTCTCTTTTCTACATTTTTTTTTTAACTGTTTAAGAGAAAATGTTGTTGCATTAGCATTTTGTTAGTGATAATTGACATTCCATGATACCAGTGATTTTGCTTCCTCTGCAGGTTTATTATTACAATGCTCGGACACGTGAATCTGCATGGACCAAGCCAGATGGAGTTAAGGTTATTCAGCAATCAGAACTGACACCTATGCTTGCAGCCCAGGCACAGGTTCAGGCCCAAGCCCAGGCCCAGGCCCAGGCGCAGGCTCAGGCACAAGCACAAGCTCAAGCGCAGGCCCAGGCCCAGGCGCAGGCCCAGGCCCAGGCCCAAGCTCAGGCGCAAGCACAGGCACAGGCCCAGGCCCAGGCGCAGGCTCAGGCGCAGGCGCAGGCGCAAGTGCAAGTGCAAGCACAAGCAGTAGGAGCTTCCACCCCTACGACCAGTAGCCCAGCACCTGCAGTGTCCACTTCAACATCATCATCCACCCCATCCTCCACCACTTCTACCACAACAACTGCCTCTTCGGTTTCACAGACAGTATCAAGTGAGTACCAGTCAGTATGTGTTTCTGTTTAGGGGCCACAGAGGTGGACAAGTAGGGACTGCATTCCAAAATTATCCTAGCGTTTCAGGTGTTGTCCTTGATATTATTTAAAATACATTTTGACTTTTGAGTTAAAGAGGAACAGAAATTTACATTCGTAGAAGAAAGTATCTGCCCACTTGGAATTTGTGAAGTTAAGCTGGGGAAGTGCAGTTACCTATTTAACTTGACCAACAGTAATGCTGTCTGCTGTGGCGTTTGCAAAATAAGTGTAATTCTTGGCCCCTACCTTACAGAACTTCCAGTTTTTCTAATTGAGGAAGCAGGAATAATACATGTGAAACAATTAGAGAATAGTGTGCAAAATTATACAGTGAAGATAAAAGATGTAAGAATTCAAGAAAATGGAGAGAGAAGTGGGTGGACTATATGGGTGTTGAGGTTGATCATGAAGCATGTGTGGTAGGATCTGAGTAGGTTCAAAAGTAAAGAGAGGTCTTTCAGGTAGGGGGGAACAGCATAAACAGAGGCCAGGAAATGAGGATAAATGTGTTTATGGGATTGCTAAGAAACTCTTCTGAGGTGGGAAGGTTTATATAGGTTAATAGATTGAGTAAGAGTGAGACGAGGTTATGAAGAGTTTTAAGAACCAGGCAAATGGGTAAGGCAGATGGCCAGTAGGGGTCCTATATAAATGCAGTGTTCTGGAAGATTTTTCTGGCGCTTGTGTTTTGGATAGTGTTGAAATCAGGGAAACTTATTAGGAACTTTTCAACAATCTTGTTTAGAGGTGGGTAGGTCCTAAAATGAGACACAGGCAGATGAAATGGGGAGTTGAGATAGAAGCAATTAGAAAGGTAAGAGAATTTTCAGGTGAAGTCACAGGCCCAAAGGTTAGATCTTTTCTGAAAAAATGAGAGGTGATTAAAGTAGATTTCAGGAATGAGGAAAGAAGAATCTGTTAATTTGCCTAAAAAATTATCATTGATACTTATATTACTAGTTCTGGTTTTTCGTTGTTGTTTTTTTTTTTGATATGTGTATGTTGTTTCTTATTCTACAGGCTGAGATTGAGCCCAAAAATATTTTATTGATTTGATTATTTGTTATACTGGTATGAAAATATGTAGTTATCCCTATAGGGTGATTATAATTTGGGTTATTTTGCTACCTGGATGACAGATGAGAATAAGAAAAAAAAGGTGGTCCCTTCTACCGCCCCAGTAACTTCAGGGACTTGGGAATTATTGGTGTCTATTACCCTGTAGGAAATAGGTATATGAGAGAAATTTAATCATAGTAGAATCAAATTTTATTTTATCTTATTGATATAAGAATTATCTAAAGAAGTAAGGTACATGTAACATGGAGGCAGTTTTTTAAAAGCTCTACTTTATATTTTTCAGACAGCTTGCGGGAAATGTGCTTAATAGGAAGATGTAAATAATGCTTTACAAGTGTTTTCTTTCATAGGCAAGGTGAATTCTGACTTGGAAGTACAGCAGTGATACTAGCTACCTGCTTGCAGGTCTTTTCCTTTTTATGGGCTAGTGCTTCTAAAGCTTGTCTGGCAGGGCAGAGAACTGCCAGTTTTTATGGGGTACCTGAGGTGGTAATGGGAGAAGGGGATTAATAACAGCAGTGCGGTTCTCTTTGGAGGCTCCCTCTTGCTTCTATTTTGTTCTCTGCCTTCTTAGGAAAGAGAAATAGTAGTACTTTGTTTAAAGGAAGGTGGGTAGCTAGATACTTTCACTATCCTGTACATATTCCATTTCTACATCAGAGTGGTCTGTCAGTCCTATAGCTATCTTGTGATTATCAACTATTCTATTCAGAAGTTCCATTTGTCATCTTTTTTATTGCCCTTCAGTGATTGGAAGACCTTTATTCCAAGAACAGAATAGCGAAATCATCTTCCTTTTACTGCCTTTAAACATCAACTTTGATGTCGTCTTTCTGAGTATTCCTGATGTCTGTTTTTATTTCACCTGATTCAGTGTCATGAAGTGTTGCCATACTACAGTCTTAATATAGCTCCATTTATTATAGTCACTTGTCCTTTTTAGTTAAGATCTGAGGCTGGATTAGTAGTATATTTTGAGGCCTAGTGTTTCCCTAGTTATTTTAGCAAATGGAGCTAGTAGGAATTTACCCACTATTAAGTCCTAACTACCATCCTCCCGGTTTCCCATTTAACTCTTTTATTGCCTTTATCTCTTTCCTCTCGTGACTCACAGCCACGCATCAAATTCAGAAAATCCTGTGTCAGCAAGAGGAATGGGTTGAGTGAATACTTTTTGCCGTCTCCATTGGTGTTCCTTTCCACTTAAGATTTGATGCCTTTTTAACTCATTATTTTATTTTCCTGACTAAAGTACTTGGTATCATAATTTTAGTAATATATTTAACTACTATTAACCATAATATTTTTAAAAATCTAATTCTGTGAACTGTAGTATACACCTGGTAAAAATTAAGGAATTTCTATTTTAACCCCAGTTGAGCATGAACTCATTTTATTTTGTGGAAGCTGTGAAAAATGCTGATGAAATCTTACTTCTCAGGGAGGTTGGGAAGAATAACTAGATATGTTTTCAGCCATTACAGCAGATTACAAATGCTAAGTGATATATGTATGGGACTGGGCAAATGTTGCATGTAATTTGTATTTTTCACACTGTTATAAATTATATTAATATGATACTGTACCCTAAGGCTAGGTCTATGCTAGACCAACAATTCATTCCTGGGCCCCTGAAGATACTTGTTTGGCCCTGCTGTCTATTTAGCCAAGGTGAGTCCCTCATTAACAAGTATGAAATTGCTCACATCTTCCCAGCCTAAGTGAGTTTTTCATTATTAGGAACTGAAAAAAGATACTGACGAATTTTGTTGTCAGTTGGATTATTGGGTGGTTTGTATTAAACAGTGTGCTTTCCCTTAGAATAAAATTGATGTAAAGATTGGGAAAGCACTGTTTTATTTCATTTAGTTTGGTAAACTCGTTCTTAGTTCAATACAGATAGAGTTTGACATTTTTCTCTACATCGAGAAAATGATGAACTATTTGTTACCAGTGAATTACCACAGTGAATTTTGTTTGGAACTAGATGAGTTATGAATAAATAACAGAAATATTTTGTAATATTTGAGAACTGAAATTTTTTTGTAATTATGAAATATGAATTTTATTTTTGGGTCACAGTTTCAGTTTAAATGTGATTACTAGGGATTAAATGTTTTATTTTTGATACTTAAAAATAATGTATTAACAGAACCAAATTATCCTGAATTTCACATTCTCCTGGTCTCTCTCACTGGAAACTTGAGGGGTTTTTTTTCTTTTTTTACCTTTTAATTTTGAAATAATTATAGAGAAACCCAAGTGGTTTTTGACTCCCTTTCTTCATATCCAGGCAGTCATTAGTGGTTGCGTATCTTTTCTTTCTATTCTTCCTTGGTTGGACAATTCCAGATATGTTAGAATTGGTTTTCTCACTTCTGTTCTTCTTTTCTTCCCCTGCATCTACCAGGTTAATTCATCAAATGAACACTGATTATTATTCTTCCATACAGAAACCTTCATTCTGCCTCCCTCACACCCCTTTTACATTCATAAAGCTACGCAAATATTTGTGAATGCCTTCTAATAAAAATTTCAAACTCTAATGAAGCACATGTAATAAAAGTGAAAGATATACATAGATGTAACGAGTTAATACATTTTGTTGTGCATTCTTCTAGATCATTTCTCTACATTTACATACCCAGTAAGGTGCAGACTCTTTAGCCTTCTGTTCAGGGCTTTCTGTTTTATGCCTCTGGCCTACCTTTGCAGCCATAACTCACTGGTTCTGTTGGTATGCCTTGGGTTTTACTAGCTGACTGCTTGCCTTCTATTTTCTAAACAATTCCTTCTTGTCCTCTACTCTTTGCTTTTACTCACTTTTCCCACCACTTGCTTATTTTCTCCTTCCACTTCCTCATTTTCCTTGTTGCCATCCTAATCTTTCAAGGCCTATCATCACAGTATAAAACGTTCTGTACCCTCTCACAGTTAGAAAAATGGTCTTTGGTTCTTGATTTACACTCCTATACATTTATCTCATTTCACTTTGTGTTTTAGTTATTTTTGCATTTCATTTAACTGACTGTTTTCGAGCTTCTTGAAGGCAGAGACCTTGTTACAAATTTCTTGCGGTGCTTGGAATGGGCCCTTAAATACTTACTTACTGAATGGGTGAATGATGAATGAATATAGTAAAATGGTTTATGACGGAGTGATACATATTTTTGTTTTATCTTTTATCAGCACCCACAACACAAGATCAGACCCCAAGTTCTGCCGTTTCAGTTGCTACGCCTACAGTTAGTGTTTCAACTCCTGCTCCTACAGCCACACCCGTGCAAACCGTTCCCCAGCCGCACCCCCAGACGTTACCTCCTGCTGTTCCTCATTCAGTACCTCAGCCAGCAGCAGCAATACCTGCCTTTCCGCCAGTAATGGTACCTCCGTTTCGTGTTCCCCTTCCTGGCATGCCAATTCCACTTCCAGGTAAACTAATAGATTATAATAGTCTTTCCAGCTATGTTTTCATATTGTCAATTAGTTTGTTCTCATGTGTCTGTTGCATTTGAAATTTGCCTTGAATCTCACCTGTTTGAAATGTTTTTGAAAGATTCATGGCTAACTGCAATATTTTCTCTTCAGTTTTGGTAAATGTCCTTTTTTTGTTGTTGTTTACATGTCTTAAAATTAGAGCCACATTTAAAGCTATATTCATTTTGAATGATGGCCTCAGTGAATTAAAAATGATCTTTTTGTGTAAATATGTTCTAAATGCAATATTTTTAAGGGATTGAGTCTATAAAGTTGAGAAATCACAAGTCATTAACAATTAACACAAGTTGAGGGATTTATATGTCGTGCACTGTTCGACGCACTTTGCATATAATAACTCATTTAATTTCCATAACCATCTTTTGAGGTAGGTACACAGACAGGTTAAATTACTTGCCCATGGACACATAGCTAATAAGTGATGGTGTTAGCATCTGAGCCTGGGCACTCCAAATCCAAATACCATCCTCTTAATAGCTTTGTTATACTGGAAAGAAATGTGAGTCACCTGACTATAAAAAATTCATCTAAAATGGAAACCAGAAGTTTCCCTTATACCAATGTGAAGTTAAGTATAACATTCACCATGTAAACACTTAAATAACTATGGTGAATTTGTGTGTTTTTTTGTCTTAGGGGAAATCATTATAACTAGAGAAGGGATTAAGTTTGTGAAGTAGAATTCTTCCTGTACAGATTAAACAGGGATAGTGTTGGGCATCCTATTTTGAACGCATTTGTTGTCAAACACATTTAATCCTTAATCCATGGTCTGTTCTCCTAGTATTATAGTTGAAAATAGTGATACCTTAGAGATGTCAAGTTCACAGGGCTAATTTGTAGCAAAGATGACTAGGCTTCTTGTTTCCCAGTTTTACATTCCTCCCACTGTCTGTTATTGCTACTTTATTGTACTAGTTTCTGTGTAAGAATAGGGTCGTAATACAGCTATTTCTTGGATTTGCACACATTTTAAATATCACTATTGCTCTAATTGTCTTTTTTTCTTGTGACCACTTTGAAAAGAACACTTTCAGATGTTACACCATAGCAAGTAAGAAGCCAAAAATTTCAAGAGTTAGTGTTTTTTGGGTAGGAAAACCTTTTACACATTGTTGATGTAGTGTTAATTAAATGCCCAATATGTAACCTTTACGAAACTCGTATCATTTAAAGTAAGAAAACCAAACCAAAATGTTTTCTGTATTACTAGGGATTACCCTTTTTCTAAATTAAGTCTAAGACAAGCAGCTGGATACTGTCCTCTTTGGATCTACTTCTTGTAGAAAACTAAGTGATGAATGGAGAATAGCTCGACTTTCATCGTAATCTCTTACATCTTGGTCTACTTTGGGGTCAAGTATAGTATCAAGACCAGATCCTGGATTCTGAGTTATCTGAAGGAGCTGGGGTTGTTAATTCTGTAGAGAGAAGATTGAGAGGTAGCATAATAACATTATTGAAGTATTTGAAAGGCTGTCATCTAAGAGGACTTTTGTTTTGCTTCAGTTATAGCTCTATTTTGATGTCGTGGTCTTCTCTGACCCTCACCCCGTCATTGGAACAGATGGTGGTGACCATATGACCAAATGAAGTAGTCTTATGAAGTTTGGCAGTAAAAGGCATTTAATAAATGGCAGCCACTACTGACATTTTATAGGTCACTTGGTAGAGAATCTGAGTTTAGATAATCAGTAAAATTTTGTCCAAGATAACAAGATTCTTTGGAGAGGGAGCTAGTGTTTTATAGAAAGTAATAATATGTGTTTATATTGTAAGGCATCTTTGGTATTAACAGTCATTCATTTTTCCTTTTAATTCAGTCCTCCAAGGTGCTTTAGTGAAAAAGAAAAAGACGACTTTTGGTTTTCGGTACAGTGAGATCTCTCTCTGTTTTTCCTTCTTTATATAAATTTAGCAGCAAGGTGAATCGGAGGGATTTGGATATGATTTATCTTGGAGCCTTAAATTCTGTTTGAAATAGCAATGTATGGCTCTAATGAGGATAATTAAGGGATAGTCAAGACGAAAGTGGAAGAACTAGGTAAAATATAGGAATAAGAGGTGGAATTGGGGATAGTAAATTTAATTAGGATTATAGGATTCTACTTGAAGACTATAAAATCTTTTTTGGAATTTTAAGAAACTTATTGTCAGTGACGTCAGAATTATCTAAAATACTAAATGGAATTTTCTGGTTTCTTATAGAACATAGTTTGAAGATAGAGTTGTAGGAAAATTGAACAAATGCGCTCTTCAAAAAGGTGGTTAAAAATTTAGATTGTGGTTTTTTTTTTATTTACTGGGTTCGTGGCCCCAGTGCTGCTTTTTTTTTTTTCATTTGAAGATTGGCCCTGAGCTAACATCTGTTGCCAATCTTCCTCTTTTTTTTTTTTTCCTTCTCCCCAAAGCCCCCCAGTACATAGTTGTAGGTCCTTCTTGTTCTGTCACGTGGGATGCTGCCTCAGCATGGCTTGATGAGCCATGCTACGTCTGCGCCCAGGATTTGAACTGGCAAAACCCTGGGCTGCCAAAGTGGAGCGCACAAAATTAACCACTTGGCCATGGGGCCGGCCCTTAGATTGTGGTAATTTTTTTTTTTTTGAGGAAGATTAGCCCTGAGCTAACATCCGCCGCCAATCCTCCTCTTTTTTGCTCAGGAAGATTGGCCCTGAGCTAACATCTCTGCCCATCTTCCTCTACTTTATATGTGGGACGCCTACCACAGCATGGCTTGATAAGTTATATGTATGTCTGCACCCGAGATCCGAACCAGCAAACCCTGGGCTGCAGAAGTGGAGCATGCGAACTTAACCACTACACCACTGGGCTGGCCCCCGGATTGTGGTTATTTTGTGAGTCTTCATGATATGCATGTAATCACTCTCAGAGAAAACCTTAAGTTTGTCGTTTTATTTTATTTTATTTATTTATTTTGAGGAAGATTAGCCCTGAGCTAACATCTGCCACCAGTCCTCTTCTTTTTGCTGAGGAAGATTGACCCTGAGCTAACGTTTCTGCCCATCTTCTTCAATTTTTTTTTTTTTAATAATATGTGGGACGCCTGCCACAGCATGGCTTGATAGGCGGTGCATAGGTCTGCACCTGGGATCTGAACTGGTGAACCCCAGGCTGCCAAAGAGGAGAGCATGAACTTAACCAGTGTGCCGGCCCCAAGTTTTTTTTTTTTCTATCATGAGAAGAAACACATACAACCTTTCAGTATGGTCTGTATGTCAGCAGTCAAATAACAAGAATTGTGTATGTTTAACAATGGCAGTTAGGCCTAAATATGAATAGATTTGATTTTTTCTTAAGTTGTGTAGTTAAAATTATTTATTGGGGGATGGTTTTGGAGAATAGTCTTTGAGAATAAAGTTCATATATTCTAAGAATTGAGTTTCTAGTGCTGACTTAATAGGTTCAGTGGTCCTGCAGATGGCAGTATTTATACTAATTTAAACCTGATACATGCTGTAACTTCCTTAACCAAATGAATTTTTCCATTGCTTTCTTTAAACATTAGAGAAAATAAAACTATACATATAACTTTATTCATCATGCTGTTATGGTCCAGTGTTTTTGTTTTAGTTTCACAGTGAATAGAAAGTTTAGTTTTAATATTCTTTATTTAAAATAGTAATTAAGAAATAAAAGGCACTTTTCAAAAATTGGCAGTATTTTTGTGTGTGTGTGCGTGAACATAGGTACATTATTTACAAACCCAGAGGTTTAATTTTAATTTTCGTCTCTGAATTAGGAGAAATTTCTTTTCCTGTACTTTAGTGGGGAAAATAGTTTATTATTTTTAATTTTTATTGGTGCCAAACTAGGTTCAGTTTTTTCAGCCAAAACAAATAGAAGATAAAATTTAATTTCCCAACCCTTTTCCTTTAAAAAAATTTTTTTCACTCTTAATTTTGAATTTCTTCAATTAATCAGTCTTAGTTTTCCAGCTTTTCCTTTCATCCCCTTTTTATCACCATTGTAATGCATCATGATGAGTCTTCATTCTTCTAAGAACTGTACGTAATTTCCATTCTTTAATACAAGTGCTACTTCCTTAGCTGGCTTAAATGATAGAAGTTTTTGAAGCAATCAGCCCATGTTGTCATTAATGGTATTAAAGGGGCTGTGTTAGCCTGCCTCCACAGTGTTCTAAGCCCATGGCATTCCACAGAGCAGGCACTCAACATGGATATTTTCTCGTTCATTGAATGCTACCCTCTTCATCTTTGCCCTTCTTTTATTTAAAGTATTATTTGCAGCGGAATATTTGGATCCATCTCATGCCTTATTTTCTTCCTTTCCCTCCCACTCCTCTTTGTCCTATCTTATTCCTTTTCTACTTCTGCATGGTTATGCTCCATGCCTCAGCTTCTGCATGTAGTTTCCACTTAGCAGCACATAGAGAAAGTGCCTTGTCAGTGTCATGCTGCATCTGCCTTTCACTGGTATCTAAGCAACAGCAGCATGGGTTTGATGTCCTGTGGGAAAATGTCCCACATGAGAACTTGTTATGTATATGTAATGAAGGGGCTTTCCTTTGTTGAATTTAAACTCCTAAGACTCCTTCAAATACTATCAGAGCTGGTTTAATAAAAAGGTAATTGATGCTATAAACATAGAATTAGTTATCATTGGATTTGGCACCACTTCCCACAAAATGTCAAACATAAAGAAATTTTACTCCATTCTTGGTCTTTTTCATTGGAAATAGCATTCTAAATTGTAGTGGTAAATTATTTCCCTGAATCCCAGTGGTAGCTGACATACAATGGCAGCTTTCCAACGTATGCTTGCTTATCCATTTTACAGGTGTAGCAATGATGCAAATAGTCAGCTGCCCGTATGTAAAGACAGTCGCTACCACCAAGACCGGTAATTTTTAAAACCATCTTAGTTTGTTTTGTCTGTAAGTTGGCATGGTAGTGAATGTTGTTGTTTATCCTTTTATTTATTTATTTTTGCCCAAGTGAGTGGATTTTTTTATATTTTTCTTTTTAATGAGCAGTATAAATGCAGTTGTCATATTTGGCCAACACTTAATTTTCCCAATTGCCTGTAGTATTAGCTTCTTTGGTTCACAAAAGCAAATAAGGTCAGATCACTTTATATCTTAATTTTTGTAATAAGTGTAAACAACTTCATTCTCATATTCATAACATTTAGTTTTATTTTTTGATGTGTTTTTAAGTTAAATATAAAAAAATCATTTTCATGTGTAAAGTGATGTGATTATGCTTGCATGCTAGTGAATATATGTGTGTGAATATTTGTGTATAGTATAAATTTACATTTTAAAGTTATTGAAGATAACTACCTGAAACTTAAATTCTAGTATAGGATTTGAGGGGTTATTTTTCAATTTTGTTTCTTGTTTCCTTAGCTTGTTTAGCTGTCTTATAAAAAATATAAATCTTGGCTTACCTTTTTAAAAAATAGAAGAAACTTTACTTTCTTTTAGGAAAAGACTAAACTGATAGAGTTTACAGGGATAACTGACTTGAGTTAGTATATTGAAATAGATTAATAAACTCAGTCATTTACTTTAAAGCAGAATTTTATTCATACCCTTTTAGGTACCTTAAAACTAGAAAATAATTTTGCCTCAGTAAATATGCTTGTTGCCTTGATTTCATTAGAATTTGAGAAATTCTTTTTAAAAATATATTTCTATTAATAAGTAGATAATGCACCATAATTTTTATAGTTTATAAAGACTTATTAAGACTTCATGATAGGTATGACCCAAATTTCTGGCTGTTCTTAAGGTACTTCTTGGGTTGAATTTCTGAATCTAATTGAGTTTAGGCATTAGAACTAAACCAGGATATAGATTTAAGTAATTAAATCACATTTTATATGATTTTTTTGTGTTGTTCCAATTGGTCATTCATTTATTAATATTTAATAGAAACATTTAGCTTATGTTTTCAAGTTTTACTTTGTATTGAAATGTTATGCTCGGCTCTAACTTTTTATTATTCTCTTTTAGGTGTATTGCCAGGCATGGCCCCTCCTATCGTACCCATGATACATCCCCAGGTCGCTATTGCAGCTTCACCTGCTACTTTAGCTGGAGCGACAGCAGTTTCTGAGTGGACTGAATATAAAACAGCAGATGGGAAGACATATTATTATAATAATAGAACATTAGAATCAACCTGGGAAAAACCCCAAGAACTGAAGGAAAAAGGTATAGTTTTAATGAGTTGGTGGAACATAGTACAAACTATGATATTATAAATACAATGCTACTTGAAATTCTGTGTTAATTCCTTTTTAACACATTTGAGGGATTTTCTAATTACATAGTTGTTGGATTATTTATTTCTACGGAATTGATAAATGTATATTTATTTTCAAAGCCAGTTCTTCTACTTAATATTTGTCCGTCATTTTTCCATCTGGAGAAATTAACTTTTACATCCATGCAAATATATATTTTTACTGTAGTCAGGAGTTGCATAGTTATTCTGTTATATAATTATTGTTATCCTTATTGAGACTGATAGTACTGATCAGGAAGTAATGTGTGTATTGTATGTGTTCTGAAGAAAACAAAATTAGGCCTTTGGAGTCTTAGATGAAGATGACTCATAATTTTTTACATCACAATACTCTGTTTCTGTTCCTGAGTATCTTAGTATCTTATCCCTTTCAGCAGAATGAATGATTGCTACAAATGATAACATGAATGACCTGAAAGACTTTATGTCCCTCTGAAATCAGTAGTTCTTTTCTAGTGACAGTTTCCTGATAGGCATAGCGAGGTATTTGAAGTTGAACATTACATTAGATTCAAATTAGTGATATTACAAGGAAAAAATTTTATCTTTGGGATTAGTAACTAGAAATGGAGTATCTTAACTGCTTAGCCTCTGAAAGTTCTTGAAAATTACATAAAAATCCTTGAATGATATTATCTTAACTTTTTATTAGAAAAATTAGAGGAGAAGATTAAAGAGCCAATTAAAGAACCTTCCGAAGAACCTCTGCCAATGGAGACGGAGGAGGAGGATCCTAAAGAAGAGCCGATAAAGGAGATAAAGGAGGTAAAGAGCCACGGCCTGTTACCCTGGGAGCCAACATTGTCGGGTACAATTTACTTGCAACTGAAAAACAATTTGATATGGTTTTAGATAATTGTTATAAATTGGATTTCTGAAATTTTAGAATTCTTTGAAGTTTCTAGTTCAGTTTTTCTTTTGAAAGTTTCATTAAATTACTTCTTATACTAAACTGAGGCCCCTAGAAAGAAAAGGCCTTGGGCCAGAGTTTGGCCCTGATACCCAGCTGCTGCCCGACTTATAGACTGATACATGTTCCACCATAAATACAACTTCATGTTTGGGGGAATGTTCGTTATATTTTATGTGTTCTCTCCTGGAATAGAGTGCTCTCTATACAGCAGTGAAAGAAATCTGCTTTTAGGAAGCTTCCTTTATTCAGTGAGGGACCACTCATAGTCGGGTTTTATTAGTAAGGAAGTTAGCAGAAAAGAGAAACGACCCTAAATGAAGAGGTCTCCTCTAATTTTCTATACTGTGTTCCCCGTTTCTGCTGCTAAGAAGGTGGTTAGTGAGTGTAAGATAGGACCATCTGCTGCTTTGGGATCTGCTCTTGTGGAATTCAGCTCTGTCTAGGGGGGAAAGGATTTAGAACTTTCTTAGAAATTCCTACGCAGTCTCCCCTCCCTGTGCTAGCAACAGACTTTATGTTGTTTGTACTTTGAGATATCGGCAGTGATACTTGTATTTGTGGAATATTCAGGTATAGTTTTGTGATATTAATTAAGTGAAAGTAATATCTTTTCCCATAGGAGCCCAAAGAAGAAGAGATGACCGAAGAAGAAAAGGCTGCCCAGAAGGCAAAGCCGGTAGCTACTACCCCTATTCCTGGTACTCCATGGTATGTACTTGGCTTAATGAGTAAGTTTTATTTATTTATTTAATTTTTGCCATACTTGATTGTTACATGGTTTATTCTGTAGGAAGAAAAAATACTTTACTTCAAAAAAAGTATATGTCACATATATGTTTTTATCTACTGAATATTTGAGTTCTTATTTATTGTATTTTGGGTGTTCACACCTAAAACTCAATGGCTACAGTGTCTTCCTCCCTTCGTGATTAATGTTTATTTTCATAAGTACAGACTTGAATCACTGAGATCCTGAGTCTACTTTTTATTGTTTAACATTGTAAAAAATAGCTTTTATATAAATAGCTTTTACATATACGCACGTGTGATAATGTTTATAGAACTATGTAAAACTATGTCTTTTTATCTAAATGTTGAGTAGTCTACTTTTTCTTTTCTTCTTTTGTTGGTTCTCTCTTTTCTTCCTCTCCCTGCATCAGTGCTTTCTCTCTTATTTGTGCTCCAACTCATTTAATTCGTATATGGTCCACATGTTGTAATGAGTTGGCTTGTTTCTTAAGTCATGGAATTTATAAGTTCCATTCCAACTTGTTTTCCTTCTTGTTTTTGTTATTGAAAAAATAAATGTTTGTTTTATGGAGTCCCACAGTCTGGATTTTATTATTGCATCCCCGCGGTACTGTTTAATAGAGTCCTCCCTTCCTGAATTTCCTGCAAACTAGCAGGCAGATAGAAAGATGTGATCAGATTCAGGTTTGATCTTTCTGGCAAGACTAGTTCATAAATGATAATGTGCCTTTCCCTCAGGATGCATCTGGTTGTCTCTTTTTTTGTGTTGTTAGCAACCATTGCTGATTATTATTACCTAGATCATTGATTCTCAACCAGGAGTGATTTTGCTTCCCTTCCCCCGGCCCCGGCCCCCCTGCCGATGTATGGCAACCTCTGGAGACATTTTTGGTTGTCTTAAGTTGGAAGGTGTTAATAGCATCTAGTATCTAGTGGGTAGAGACAAGGATGCTCCTCAACGTCCTACCATGCACAGGACAGCTCCCTACAAGAATTAATTATTTGGCCCAAAATGTCAGTAGTGGTGAGGTTGCAAAACCTGGCCTAGATCCATTAAATCTTTAAGAGTTGAAAGTGGTGATAATGTATTTCTATAATTTCTTTTTCATTTGTTAACTGGAGTACTTAGAGGTACTTCCCTTGCCAACATTGGTTATTTAGAGGTATAAGTTGTATAGGAAAGAAAAGACTTAGTGATTTTCAGAATGATGAGTTGGTTTGAATATTACAAATTCACAGATTTGACTGTATTTTGTATATTCCTATCCATTGCAGTTATTATCCTTACTGATGTTCAGTTGTTTCATCTTTGGCTAGGGGAAGCCTCTAAAGGTTGACTTTTGAGGGTTTTTTTTGTTACAACTCTAACTTTGATACCTTCCTTGCTGTCTGCTCCAACAAGATGTTCCTGGCTTATTTCATGTATGTCCTATCACAGACCTAGATTCAGCCATTTTCCCAAGGAGCCCTGTTTTCTTTTTGTGGGCACTGGCGTTTATAGGCCATGGAGTAGGTTCTCAGGATAGTTGTTACTACTGCCTTAGTCATTATTTTAGACATCTTTGGTAGACACAGATGGAAGATACATACATTTAAAGATACATCATGAGTTCATACCATTACTTGGAATTCGGGTCTACTACAAGATTTTTACTGAGCCTTAATTCACTCTTTCCTTTCCTGCTGAAAAATCCTGCTTCTGAGTGGTAGCAACATAATTACTCGTTTACTTTTCTCACAAGTCACAGAATAACAATACCAGCACTATCACTAACAGTGTGGTTACTGAAGAGAGTTTAAGCTTTTTTTTTCCCTAGTTATTTTTATGTTTAGGGTATATCACTCTAAAGATGTATAGTTAAGTTACTGTGGTTTTGTTTGTTTGTTTTGGTTTTTTTGCTGAGGAGGATTAGCCCTGAGCTAAGATTTGTGCCAGTCTTCCTGTATTTTATATATGGGTTACCACCACAATATGGCTGACGAGTGGTGTAGGTCCACCCTTGAGACCCGAACCCGCCAACCCAGGCCACTGAAGTGGAGTGTGCCGAACTTAACCACCAGGCTGCGGGGCCAGCCCCAAGTTACTGTGTATTAAAGGCATTTGGAATAGTTATTTTCTATATAGTTATTCCACCAACTTGATACATAGGCTCAATTTTTAAAACAGTTATGCAAAATATTTGTCTGCTTCCAAAATCAAAGTTATGAAAACAATCTGTATTCGAAGAGTATATTCCTCAATAGTTTCTCCATTTAAGTATTGTACGTGAAAAGCTGCTAACCAACTCCAAACCCCACCAGTCTGGAACTTTGTGGGCTTCGTCAGTTTTCAGATTTGAGTCTGTCCTCAGATTAGTGAAATTTTCTTTTGGAACTTGTTTTATTATTGCTTCTCTGCATCTGTTTTTTTCCTTTTCTGGAACATTTGTAGTTTGCACGTCAAGTCTCTTGTATTTGTTATTCTCTAAACCCCTTACTTTTTCGTTTATGATTTATATCTCTAGTTTTTGTGCTCTACTTTGAGTTATTTTCTCATTGATCTGGTATGATATTATTAGAAAAGAATGCATGAATGCATTAAACAAGCATACAATATGGTAGAATTATATGAAGTAAAAAATTGAGGAGTTCCATCTTCACCATGCTTCTTCCTGAATAAAAGTTTGGTACATATGCCTGTAGACCTTTTCCTACATTGTGTTTTGTGTATGTATGTGTATGTGTAGAGGTGTGTGTGTGTGTATGTGTGGTGTATATGCACATAGTGTCTTAAAAAAAGCATCTTATTCCTCAGTAGTATTTTTTACTAAATATGTCTTAGAAATGTTGCAGTTTTAGTACCTCTAAATCTACTTGTCATGGCATAGTTTTCCGTTGCATGAAAATGCACAATTTTCCTACAAATGGATGATTAGGTGGTTTTCTGTTTTTTTGCCCCTGGCATTACAAATTTTGCTGTTTAGGACATCGTTATACATATTTCTTTGTGAACACATGCAAATATTTCTGTTGGATTGATTCCTAGAAATGAAATTGCTGAGTTAAGTGGTATAGCTATTTTAAGTTTTGATGGATATTGCTAAATAGATCTCAGAAAGGATTTTTTGGGGGGAATAGAGGAGGGGCTACACCAGTTCCTATGCCCAACAGCAGATTGAGAGTACCAGTTTTCCCTCACTCCAACCAGTGTAGGGATATTCCTTTTAAATCTTTGGTAACATGATAGGAGAAGGAATCTTCTTAGATGTTTCCAGAATGCTGGTATAAATGAACCTATTTCATATTTGTTGGCTATGGATTGCCTCTTCACAGTTTTCGCTTATCTTTTCATGGACTTGTCTTTTTCTTAATATGTGAGGGCTTTTTATGTGTACTGCTATTAACCCTTTGACCTTTACCTGTATTACAATTTCTCCCTATCTCATGATTTTTGTTTTAATATCTTATCATATAAATTTTATATTTTGGTGAGGTCAGATTTATTGATCTTTTTATTTATAGCTTCTAGGTTCTGTGTCTTTCTTAGGAAGAAGCATCTCCATCCCCCCAGAAAACTCCCCAACGTGCAACTGTGTGTTCCCAGTACTTTTACAGTCCCTCTGAGTACGTGAAGGATAACCACATGTCCAGATTATCTTGCGAGTTCTGTCAGTGAAGGAGTGTATCATCAGTGTAACTTTAATTCCCTATTTTATTATTTTCCATTTCTTATAAAACAGCTGAGTGCTGACTTTAAGCTAAACAATTTGTTCAGCTAAGCATTGTATGCCACTTCATTTGGATAATCACATTTTTATTAGTCTTTTTCTCTGTTGATAGCTTCAAATGTTGCTCTTCAAATTACTGTTTCTTTAGAGATGTTAAGAAGCTAAAGGTAAAACATGAAGTTTCATGTTTCCCTTACCTATGTTGGGATTTTTTTCCTGGTGTTTCATGCCATTAGTTTGACTATTTTTTTTTTTTAATTAATAAAGAGAGGTCAAAATTAGAAGCATTTTATATTCTGTAGGATCAGTGAACTTAGGTTCTGGTTCTAAGAGAGTTTTAGTGTTTTGACAGGTTTTTAAAGGTCATGAACCAATTTTAATTTTTTCCATTTCTTACTAATCTGCGTCACACAGATTTAGCTTGCAGTATTTGTACTGTCCTGTACTAAATGCAAAGTGAGAGAGGGGCTGCCTGTGTTTGCCATGCTTTATTTGTCTGTAGTCTGTGTTGCTGGGTTTTAACTTATGAAAAATTTATCTTTGAACTTTTGGTTGCTTTTGTATTTACTGAAAGTGGCATAAGGCCTTTAATTAATTAATTAATTTTGCTGCTTTGTTTCTATAGTGTTTTTTCTATGTTTCCATAGGTTTTTACTCTCAATATTTTATTATGAAAAAATTGAAACATAAACATTGATAGACTGTTTCTAGAATAGTGAACATCATATATTGACCACCTAGATTCTACAGTTAACATTTTATCCTATTTGCTTTATTTATCCATCCCTCAATGCATCTGCCAGTCAGTCTTATTTCTTGATGCTTTAAAAGTCGCAGATATCAGTATACCTCTCCTCTAAGCACTTTATCATGCATACTTTTAGCTCAGGGCAGTTTTATGACACACGAATTCTTTGTCCATATTTTTTCCGTTAATTTTGAAATGTCCTGACAACTTCTCACTCCACCTTTACCACTAATACCATTGGAGGTGTGTTAGCACACTTAGATATTTTGAAGCCTACGTGAGTTAGTAGAATAGCATCTCCATCTTAAAGTAGTTACTGCTGTTAATAAAGATCAAACAGTGTTTTAGAACCTGGCATAGAAAATTTAGGCTTAGTTCTTTTCCTGAGTAAAGTTAAACATCTAACATGAGGCCTTAAGTGTCTCCGGATGGTTCTAATGGAAATTCTTGAAGAGATTTCTGCATTGACTAGTTGGATGAAAATGTATAACATTCATCTTCCC